ACTGTAGGTCTTCAGCCTTTAGGGGCCAGGAGAAATTTTGGGAGATCAATCCAAGGGGAGACAAGTCAACTCTTTGAGCTGAGCTGTTATGAGCGAGTGAACTATGCTGTCCAGAAGGGCAGGAAAATCCCTACTTACAAAATGCTTCCTCCCCTCTAGCCTGTTTGCAAAGGGCTCTGGGGAATCTCACTTCCAAAAGTTGGAAGACACAGAACTTGATCTATAACATAATTATGTCAGTGTCTATCTAAATGGCGAAGTTGCACAGAGCAATCATTAGCTCACGGTGCTGTCATTAAGAAGATATTAAAATCTAATCCCAAAGTGCTCGTCCTGTATTTGTTTTGTGATATGAATTGTTGCTCAGCTCATTTTCTTTGCCTGGGCTCATTAAAACATCTAGTCTCAATATCAGAGAACAGAACACTGCCAGTGCATGGGCCCCTGATGGAAAGACTGAGACATCTTCCATGGTGTGGCGGGGACATTTTGAAAGCTGACACAGCATAAATGGGAGTTGCGCATGTACTCCCTCCCCTCCCCACTGTGCTTCAGATGGACCTTTGTCTGGGAGAGCAAATCTCTCAATGAAGTATAAAGGATTTTAATTGAAATTGCTGCACAATAACCACATAAATAAACATAGAAGCTAGAGATAGAAGGCATATTTTTAAGTCAGGGTAATTAACCATTAGAATAGCTCACATAGGGATGTGGTGAGTCGCTGTTGCTTGGTCTTTCTGTCAGCCAGAAGTTCTGGGTGAAATTCCCTGGTCTGCATGACACAGCAGGTCAGACAAGATGCTCATAATAAACTCACAGACCTTAAGGTCAGAAGGAACCATCGTGATCATCTAGTCTGGCCTCCTGCACATTGCAGGCCAAATGCCCCTTCTGGCCTTGCAAGTTATGAATCTAGACTATTTAGCTAAGGGTTTTCTATGGTGCCTGTCACTGCTGTAACTAAATGCCAGACAAAACAATGGATGTATCAAGAATTAAAAGAGCTGCCCTCCCCAGGTACCTATTCCTTACAGGTGTCAAGATATGAGAAGTTTCAGAGGAACAGCCGTGTTAGTCTGTATTCGCAAAAAGAAAAGGAGTACTTGTGGCACCTTAGAGACTAACCAATTTATTTGAGCATGAGCTTTCGTGAGCTACAGCTCACTTCATCAGATGTATACCGTGGAAACTGCAGCAGACTTTATATACACACAGAGAATACAAATAGTAGTTACATGCCCAATTCCCGTTGATTGTCAATGGGTGTTGAGAGCCTACCTGCTCTCTGAGCCTTTGCAAAATCTTCCTCATAGTTCATATATCAAAGATAACTAGGGCCCTACCAAATTCACAGCCATGGAAAAACACATCACGGACCGTGAAATCTGGTCTCCCCTCATGAAATCTGGTCTCCCCTCATGAAATCTGGTCTCCCCTCATGAAATCTGGTCTTTTGTGTGCTTTTACCCTATACTATTCCGATTTCACAAGGGAGACCAGCATTTCTCATACTGGGGGTCCTGACCCAAAAGGGAGCTGCAGGGGGTTCATAGTATTGCCACCCTTACTTCTGCGTTGCCTTCAGAGCTGGGCGGCTGGAGAGCGGCGGCTGGTGGCCGGGCGCCCAGCTCTTAAGGCAGCACCTCACCAGCAGCAACACAGACGTAAGAGTGGCAACACCTTACCAGGCCACCCTCACTTCTGCGCTGCTGCTGGCGGCGGCTCTGCCTTCAGAGCTGGGCTCCCGGCCAGCAGCCGCCGCTCTCCAGCCGCCCAGCTCTGAAGGCGGCACGGCCGCCAGCAGCAGCGCGGAAGTCAGGGTAGCAGCACTGCACCCCCCCTTCAATAACCTTGTGACCCCCCACCCCCCCCCAGCTCCTTTTTTGGTTCAGGACCCCGACAATTACAACACTGTGAAATTTCAGATTTAAATAGCTAAAATCATGACATTTATGATTTTTAAAATCCTCGGACTGTGAAATTGACCAAAACAGACTGTGAATTTGGTAGGGCCCGAAAGGTAACAAATAGTCCACAAGAATGAGAAATGTGTGCTTGCACTGATGCTGGGGAGACAAGGAACACTGCAAGTAGTGGTCTGAGCACAACGGGAAAGGAGTCTGTGTGTCCACAATGTTAAGAAATCCGGGTACCTCTGCAAGGCTAGTCGGGTAAGTTATGAGCCAGGTAGTGTGAGAATAACTCAGGGCTTGTCTACACAGGATGTTACTGAGCACCACACCAGGTGTTAATCTACAGCACACCAGCTTGCCACGCAGTAACCTCCTGTGTAGACAGATTACTGGACGGACCGGAGGGCGGCTTGATGTACTGCTGCGTAGTGAGTGCGGTGTAGATTCTCACCCTTCTCACAGTAACTTGCCTTGTAGATAAGCCTGCCGCATGTGATGTGGTTTGTTAGTGTGTGTGTGTGGGGGGGGGGATGTTGTGTTTGGGGTGTTTATGTATCGGCTTTTCTTGTATGTGTGTATGTCGTGTGTTAGTTTATACGGTGTATGGTGGTTTGTGTGACGTGACGTGTGCTTGTGCAGTGTGTGTGTGTGTGTGTGATGGTTTGTTTCGCAGGTGTGGTCGTCCAGGTGGGTGTGTCTTTGGAGTGGGTTATTCAGTTCAGGTGGGTGTTGGTTTGTGTTGTGTGGGGATATTGTAGGTGCAAGTCACATGGTCTGTGCATTTAATTACAGCTGTCTGTATGTGATCAATGTGCTGGCAGCATCAGTAGGTTGCAGCCCAAGAAGGATCCCTGAACCTGGAAATCAGAGTGTGCTAGGAACAAAGGGATGAACCATGGAACAAATGCCACCTCATTTTCCACACGACATTACAGTGCGAGTCTAACTAGCATGTATAGTAAAGAGCACCATAAGCCACAGGAAGGGATGGAAATCTCCACTGAGTGCTTTGCTGGCCACAGGCCACAGGCTAAGTGATAGTCAGTAAACAGTGCTTAAATAAACAGAATGCTTCATGGTGAGGATTTCAAGTGTATGTTAAAGGTCCCCAGGGTTGGCAAGAGGCTTTTTTGCTGCCTTAGGCAAACAGGGAAATACGTTTTCCTCCCCACCTCCATACAAACAAACCTTCCTGGTACATTTCAGGCAGCAAGAAAATGCAGAGGGGGAAAACACGCTGAGTCAAAATAAAAGCCCAGATGGAGTAAGTGAAAGTCTCTGTGCTAGCCAGGCACTGCTAAACCGACTGTGTGTTTGGAGCCTTAAACCCCTCCTTTGGTCTTTCTGGCCCTCATGGCTGCATAGGATCCCATTTAGTGAGCGATCCTGGATGTAGGTAAGTCTTGGACCTTTGCAAAGCTATTCTGTTTAGCGAGACCTGGGTGGGCTGGGAGGTTTACACTGTCGCCAGCTGTTGCCAGTTTGAGCTGGAGCTGCTAGGAGTCACCCAAAATGATTAGCCTCTGAGAGACAGGTTTGAACTGGGTGAATGAACAGTGTGAGCACAAGTCTGGGAGCTGGGAAATCCTGAGACCTCAGCCTGGCTCCAACAGTGACTGTGTGGCCTTGGACAACCCAGTTAAACTCTCAGCCTCACTTTCCCCCATGTGTTAAATTTGATCGTTCGCACTTAATTACGCCCTCCCAGACCTGACCACACAGTCAGATGCGAAGGGCTAAGTACCAACTGAAGGTCTTGTAAATAAATGTCCCTGTCACAATGGACACTTGCTGCTGATCTTAGCAGCATGCTCAGGGCTGCTTGGTGACAAAGGCTGAGCTCTCCTCTTGCCCGCAGCAGTGGTCCCAACAGAGCAGAAGCAAAGAAAACTTGCCCTCCCACTGCCTGGCCTGTATCTGTTTTGCAGATGGAGACACTTCACTCTTCCGTGCAGGGCTGGGTTGCCACCTGTCCATGTTTCCGTAGGATTGTCCCTTTTTTTGAGATAGCTGTGCCAGGAAATCTGTAAAGGTGCTCAGTGCACGCTGCCAACTGTCCTGTGCTCAGGATCATCTAGGATATCCTGGTGTTTTTGCACCTCAAAGATGGCGACCCTAGAGCAGGGGAACTGATGTGTCCCTTACAATGGGGTCTTTACCCGTCAAGGTTCCTCCCCCACTCTGAACTCTAGGGTACAGATGTGGGGACCTGCATGAAAAACCTCCTAAGCTTATCTTTACCAGCTTAGGTCAAAACTTCCCCAAGGTACAAAATATTCCCCCCGTTGTCCTTGGACTGGCCGCTACCACCACCAAACTAATACTGGTTACTGGGGAAGAGCTGTTTGGACGCGTCCTTCCCCCCAAAATACTTCCCAAAACCTTGCACCCCACTTCCTGGACAAGGTTTGGTAAAAAGCCTCACCAATTTGCCTAGGTGACTACAGACCCAAACCCTTGGATCTAAGAACAATGAAAAAGCATTGTTTCTTACAAGAAGACTTTTAATAAAAATAGAAGTAAATAGAAATAAAGAAATTCCCCCTGTAAAATCAGGATGGTAGATATCTTACAGGGTAATTAGATTCAAAAAACATAGAGAACCCCTCTAGGCAAAACCTTAAGTTACAAAAAAGATACACAGACAGAAATAGTTATTCTATTCAGCACAATTCTTTTCTCAGCCATTTAAAGAAATCATAATCTAACACATACCTAGCTAGATTACTTACTAAAAGTTCTAAGACTCCATTCCTGGTCTATCCCCGGTAAAAACCAGCATATAGACAGACACAGACCCTTTGTTTCTCTCCCTCCTCCCAGCTTTTGAAAGTATCTTGTCTCCTCATTGGTCATTTTGGTCAGGTGCCAGCGAGGTTACCTTTAGCTTCTTAACCCTTTACAGGTGAGAGGAGCTTTCCCCTGGCCAGGAGGGATTTCAAAGGGGTTTACCCTTCCCTTTATATTTATGACATTACCCCTGGTCACAACTGCGGAAGCAGAGCTAGATCTGTCAATCCCTGGTAGGAAGGGTGTGGCCCAGGCTCTGGAAAAAACAGCCAGTGTTTATCCTACCTCCCCAGCTACTGCGGCCCTTTCCCAGACTCTTCTTGCTGCAGAGCAGAAACTGAAACAGCCCAGCTGCAGAAGGGATGCGCTTATTCCTGTTGCTCGGACTCTAAGCTTTCCTAGCCTGCTTGCTAGCTTTCGGGGGGCTGTGCAGAAAACTGGCTGGGACCCTGTCTGCTGACGCCCATGTAACTGGCTGCAGGTCTCTCAGGCAGTTGCACCACAGAGAAAACCAACGGATCTGTGCACCTTCCTACTAAGAGAAGGGGCCTTTTCAGGTGAGCAGAGATATGTGTGTTCTCTGAGGCGGTTAATCCAACCCTTTTCAGCAGCACTACCCTTGATAGTTACGACATTGTCCTTTGCATCTGTTTTCATAGCGTGAGATATGACAGAGGCAAAAAACTAGTAGCTGCTCAAGGCCAACCATCTGCCTTGGGGCGGGGGGGGGTGTTTGCTACTGTACACTTTGCTCACACATATTGCTGTTAGACTTCAGCTGCTCCTGGATGGCCAGGTAGCAAGAGCAGCCAATTTTTGTTTCTGATCCGGTGCTAGTGACCCTTCCTTTTCAGAGGCAGACCCTGTCTTGTTACCTGTGTCTTTATGACTTCCAGACTAGATTGCTGTAGTTTGCTCTATGTGGGACTAGGCCCAAAGACCACTGAGAAAGTTAATTGGCACAGAATATACCTACCTGTTTATTAAGCGGTATTTCTTTGCAGAGAGCATGTTACACTTGTACACTGTTGTCTGCACTTGCTTCAAGTTTGTTTCTCTTTTAAGGTTATTGTTTTTATTATTAACATTTAAATGTTTTTTTTTTGCATAAAGGCCGTAACCAGGTTGGGCCCCCATTGTGGTAGGTGCTGTACAAATATATAAGGTGTTTGGTCTGATCCTGATGAGAAACTGAAAGTGGAAACAAAAGTGACATGGGAAGGGGGGTGTGCCCTGCCAAGGTCCATAGTATGGTCCAACATTCCCTCCACCTTAAAACAAACAACACCCCCCAGCACTGTTTTCTGTCAGAAATGGTAAAATCCCCCCTTTTACCAAATTTCCAAAATTGTATGAAAAATCTTTGCTTTCATATGCAAAACCCAAACTGACAATTGTGTTTGGCACTTATTCGAGGCTGCTGCATTTTGCATGTAGGCACGTGCATGTCTCTGTCTGTCTCTCTGTCTCTGGGTACACACTCAGATCTACACAAACTCACACATCTAGCTCTAGAGATGAGCAGTGTGTCAAGAGATGGACACTGATGTTGCAAACACATACCGGCATGTTTAACTTTATGCACGCGAATAATGGGGCTGGTCACGTGTGTGAAGTTAAGCTGATGTGTAAGTGGTCATAGGCCTAGGGCCATTGTTATCAAGATACGGGGAAGAAGGACTGGATTGCACTGGGGATTAGTAAAGAGCTTCCACCTTTTACCTCCAGGTGACTGTAGAGAAAGTGAGGGGGGACCAGACAAGATGCTGTAGTTGCTCACTAGCTCTTTACTATTTAATAGTTGTCTTGTGGCCGAGGCAAACAGAGTTTGTTCCTCTCAGCTGAGTTTCCAGGGGACAACTGTCCACATCACGCTACAACTCTGTATTATCAGCCTGGCTGGCAGCCCCAGCAGGGACGCCTAGGACTGAATAAGCCCGGAGATGATTCCCTGCAGGTCCACGTTGGCAGGGCCGATGTGCCTGGTCTCAGAGGAGAAGCCCTCTGTCAATCTGGCACCTTTCCACATGCATTCCATTCAAATGCAGAATGAGAAGGTGAGTGGAAAAGCAGAAGGAGCTCAGGGAAAGCTGAGCTACGTGGCCTGTGCTGGGACCCTGCTCTGTGCCTGCGGCATACTCAGTCCCCTGGTGGTCCTTCCACTGACGTCAAGGAGAGCTCTGCCTGCAGCATGTGTAGGCGAGATCCGAGAGCAGGGCTGTAGCCTTCGCAGGAATTCCTGTGCAATTGCCGTCCTTCCGAACGGTGCTACGGTGTAACTAGCATGTCGTTAGGAGAAAGCGACAGGCACCAGGAACATAGCCCTGTCTCCACTGCAGCCTGGGTGGCTCGAAGGTTTTCTTGATAGACTCTAGGGCCCTACCAAATTCACGGTCCAAGCTGGTCGATTTCATGGTCATAGAATTGTAAAAATAGTAAAGTTCATGATTTCAGATATGTACATCTGAAATTTCAAGGTGTTGTAACTGTGGGGGTCCCAGCCCAAAAGGGGGCTTTGTGGGTTGCAAAGTTATTGCAGGGAGGTTGCATTATTGCCACTCTTACTTCTGCGCTGCTGCTGGGGGAGGCTCTGCTGTCAGAGCTGGGCAGCTGGAACGTGGTAGCTGCTGGCCGGGAGCCCAGCTCTGGAGGCAGAGCCACCCCCAGTGGCTAGTGCAGAAGTAAGGGTGGCCTGGGATGGTATCGCCACCCCAGTAGCGTAGCTGGTGGGTAGCGGGGGGAGCGGCTGCTCCCCCACTGAGCACAAGTGGTGCCTTTTTAATTTTTTTGGTGCCTTTTTTTAATTTTTACTCACCCGGCGGCACTCCGGGTCTTTGCTGGCGGGTCCGGCACTTCGGCAGCGGGGGCCTTTACCCACTCCGGGTCCTCGGCCGCATTTCGGCAGCGAGGGCCTTCAGTGCTGCCGAGGATCAGGAGCGCCCTTTTGGGTTCGGATCCCCAGTTTGAGAAATGCTGGTCTCCCTCGTGAAATCTCTATAGTACAGGGTAAAAGTACACAAAAGACCAATATTCATGGGGGGACACCAGATTTCACAGTCTGTGACATGTTTTTCATGACCGTGAATTTGGTAGGGCCCTATTTATAGATCAGCTATTAAACGCCTGCGGCAGGCAGGTACCAGTCTAGGCCACGCATTTAGGAATCTGGGTGAGTGATAAAAAGTGCTAAATCCCTAACAAAGCCTGGTTGCAAAGATGAATAATCTCAGCTGGTGACCCTTGGCTCTTCATTGTAATCCCATAGCCCAGCCAATTCTAAATTGTGCCTTTGAACACAAAAGCCAAGCGAGGCGGGGGATTGTGGCGCGTGAGCACTTCAGCAGCACTGAATAGATGCCATTTGTGCAACCCGCCATGCTGGCATCCGCAGCAGGAGCAGAAGCGCATGGGGAGGAGAGATGAAGGCTTTCTTTAGCCACTTCGAGTCTTAGAGCACTGCAAAGATGCTGGCTAGACCTCGCAGTACACTTGGGGAACACTAGCCGAAGACTTCTGGCTGCTGCTGTGTGTGAGTGTGCAGGCTCCTGAGTCCTCTCCTACCCAGCTCATTCTTGTAGGGGCAGACGCAACATGGTCCAGAGTGTTCACGTAGGGTTTTCCCTGAAGTGGGTCAGAAAATAAGTTCCAGTAATTTTTTTTCGTCAAAATGACACCTTTTCCCCAGTTAAAATACATAAGAGTACAATTCAGTGCAAATTTCTGACCCATTCAAGCTAAAGAAAATTGGCTTTGAATTTCAAAGTCTGCGTGGGAACAAACCCAGTCTGTTAAATTTTGCCCCAAAGCAAAACCCGAGGATGCAAAATTGTCAGGAATGAAACTACAGAGATGTGAACACCAGATCCTTGGTGTAGATGGGAATAGTGCCACTGAGTTCAAAACAACTCCTCCAATGTACAGCAGCTGCCCTTTAGTATGGCATTTGGAAGGGAAATGTTCAGAATTCTCATACAGCTCTACTTGCAACACACCTGAGAGATATTGTTGCCTTCTTTTACATATGGTGAAACTGAGACAGAGAGGTTAAGTGACTACCCCAAGATTATGGAGGGAGTCAGTGTCAGGCTCACAAGGGCACGCAGGACTAGAGCCACACTACAAGAAGGATGTGAAAAAATTGGAAAGCGTCTAGCAGAGGGCAACAGAAATGATTAGGGGACTGGAGCACATGACTTATGAGGAGAGGCTGAGGGAACTGGGATTGTTTAGTCTGCAGAAGAGAAGAATGAGGGCGGATTTGATAGCTGCTTTCAACTACCTGAAAGGGGGTTCCAAAGAGGATGGATCTAGACTGTTCTCAGTGGTAGCTGATGACAGAACGAGGAGTAATGGTCTCAAGTTGAAGTGGGGGAGGTCTAGGTTGGATATTAGGAAAAACTTTTTCACTCGGAGGGTGGGTGGTGAAGCACTGGAATGGGTTACCTCGGGAGGTGGTGGAATCTCCTTCCTTAGAGGTTTTTAAGGTCAGGCTTGACAAAGCCCTGGCTGGGATGATTTAGTTGGTTTTGGTCCTACTTTGAGCAGGGGGTTGGACTAGATGACCTCCTGAAGTCCCTTCCAACCCTGATATTCTATGATTCTGTGAGTCTAATGGTTTCTGCCCAGCGTGCTTTCAATGTAAGTATGGACAACAGACAGATGGATATAGACCGAAGACAGACAAGGCAGTACAAGGAAACAATGAGATAATGTTGATCAACATGATAGACAGAGCAAGAATACATGTTTCGGGGCCTGTTTCTCCTTTAGCTCACTCCAAAGTAAATAGAGGGGAGCTCAGCGGAACTATGCTGGAAGCGGGAGGAGAACTGGATCTTTTAATCTCTTTCTAGCAACCAAAACAAACAGATTATCATAGAAATAAAGAGCAGCAGTGGAGAACAGGAATCCCTCTCCCATGGAAGTCAGTGAAAATAGAGGGAAAGATGTAAGAGAAGAAAAGAGAAGATGTGTGTGGTGCTGTGTGAGGCAAAAGAAAAGTGTGTTATTCTAGGGATGATGGTAGAGTTGCCTAGAATTAGCTTTGCCTGACACTTCCCATTATTACTCCCTGTGGGTGAATTTTGGAGAAGGTTTCAGCCAAACAGTTCAGCCATTTCTGAAAGCGAGTGTAGGAAAAAATACATTGTGTTGCCAAGCAGAAAAAAACTTTTCTTTGAGAAGCCCTTGAACCTGCCCTGCTTTGAGGCAGTAACTCGAAATTTGGCAGAGTCTCCCCCTGCTACTCCTATCGGCATAGGGGCGTCCCTCAGGAGCACAGAGCTAGTGTAGTTAGTGCCTACACCACCCTCCCCTACAAGCCCCAGTGCAGGGAAGAATGTGCTGAGCTCCATTTACCCTCGGCTACTGGGTGGCCCCTCCAGGCTGTTGTAACCTCCCTTGGCGGTAGACAGAGAATGTGGGAGCCTTACCTGGTTTCCTTAGTCCCCTGCTGCATCAGTAGGTGAGAAATCCTACCCCATTGACTGGAGGAGTTACTCCTGATTTACACCAGCTGGAGAAAGACTAGAATCAGCCTCGCTGTGTGTAATCTTCT